TCGATGAACGTCAGAACTCCGGCCCTCTATAATATGCGGGAATTATGCGACCCGCACCCGGAGCGCACTTCAAACTGATATTTTAGAAACAAATCGTCACTTTCACACACATGTCGCACATGAATCGAAAGATCTATTCTTTATGCACTAGGTGGTATCAATAACATGTTTCAAAGATCATTACGAAAAGTATTTTCCAACGTTTTCTATACCAACCCATGTTTTTAATGGAAATTAGGCCATGAGCAATGTCACATGACTTTACGAGATCTCGAGTTACCGAAGGTATTTCCCAACGTTATGACGTAAGCCGGCGAGATTTTAGTCACGTGGCATTAGAAGGCGGGGGCTATCAAAAACTAGAGTAAAACAGAGTAAGTTTTGAAAAAATATGTTTTTAGTGATTGTATTGGTTGTTTGAGGCATGTTGTGTATGTTCATCTTGTGCATAAAGAATAGATCTTTCGATCCATGTGCGACATGTGTGTGAAAGTGACGATTTGTTTCTAAAATATCAGTTTGAAGTGCGCTCCGGGCGCGGGTCGCATATTTCCCGCATATTATAGAGGGCCGGAGGTCTGACGTTAATCGACGACAGACCGATATGAAAAACGTCGATAAAACGTCAGAATAGTTCGGACTACACTGCGGCCAAGCGCACAAGTCGATTGATGTTGTCGTTCTCTCTGTAAAGTTGTTGAAGTCCGGTCTGCTGGGCCTTCCTCCATATGCATTGCGTGAAGTGGAAAAAACAGCCCTTGATGGTCATCCGGGGAACACTTGTCGTAGAGCGTTGTGTGCTACAGTCTTGAAGTCAACGAACACTGTTGTTGGGTTGAGAGGTACAATAGGTTGAGGTCGGTCATGGTTGTTTTCAGTAGTGTCAGGAAAAGGGTGTACAACTGCTGGGTCTTGCCTGGTAGTAGTGAGTAGATGAGTGGGTACATCTTTCCGTCAATCAGTCCGTGGATGGTGTATATCTGATAGAAGAGCTTCGGGCATGTGAAGAAAGTTCCACCACAGTAGAGGTTGTCAGCATTGGCAAGTTCGAAGAGGTTGTCCGTAGTAGCGAAGCTGATGATGCGCGAGTCATCTCCATCATCAAAAAGCAGGAACTGTTCCCCGGCAGTCGTCTTGGTCAATATGGCTCGGTAAAGACTAGCGTGCATTAAGTAGAAGGTCGGTAGACGCTTGACAATCCTCTCGCTGACATCATTACATTCGTCGGTCCGGAGCTTGGATAATTATAGATGTTCAATGATTTTTATGATAGTTATAAGATACTTATAACATCTAGGAATTTTGATCAATTAACTGTTAAACACCACATCAACTACCTTTTTCTGCAGGAAAGATCCAAGTGAAGTGAAAACCTTATATATATATATGTGGTGATAGTGTAACTGTTGGTGTGAAAACCTTATATATTTATATGTGGTGATAGTGTAACTGTTGGTGTGGAAACCTTATATATTTATATGTGGTAATAGTGTAACTGTTGGTGTGAAAACCTTAGATATATATATGTGGTGATAGTGCAACTGTTGGTGTGAAAACCTTATATATATATATGTGGTGATAGTGTAACTGTTGGTGTGAAAACCTTATATATATATATGTGGTGATAGTGAAACTGTTGGAGTGAAAACCTTATATATTTATATGTGGTGATAGTGTAACTGTTGGTGTGGAAACCTTATATATTTATATGGTGATAGTTTAACTGTTGGTGTGAAAACCTTATATATTTATTATGTGGTGATAATGTAACTGTTGAAATGATAGAAACATTTATATAATGATAGTTTAACAGTTAAAAATCTTTACCCGATGGAAATGAACATTACACTGCTATGTTAGAAACTATTGAAGTGTTCCACAGAAAAATAGAAATTAAAATGAAATTTTCTTTTGTTCACAAATAATTTATCAAGGACACAATACACAATGAAGGCACATCTTTAATGAATTACATTTTTAAGCGTGACAAAAGGAATTACTCTATATCTTATTATACAGTATACCACTGCCGGATGATACACCAAAATATTATGCATGTTCGTTTACAGAAAAGGAATAATACATTAATAAGACTGTTATCGCTTTCGTAAGGGACACTTTGCTAGCCTAAGATAAACATATGTCCCCAATTGACATAACTCTGTTGATGACAATGACAATGTCTGGAATTCGATCAACGCAAATTACCATACATGATTTCATTTGATTACAATTCCTCGTTCACTATTAATGAACTTATTTACATAAACCTCAAACACAAAAGTAGTAGCAAAATAGAGATGGTCATAATGCTAGTTTTTGTTTTGATTTATTTGGGGGTTAACGGGTTTAATGTATGAAGACGGGTGCCGAAGGAAGCACTGCTCAACAGAATCTAGAGGTTGCCTGGGGACAACAGATAAAGTCTGGTCTCTCCCATGCTCCCAAAGAAGGCGGCCCCCATTATCCTACTGAGAGTCCCGAGTTAGTGGCCTTTACGTAAATCAGGGATGTGTAGTCCATTAACACACATCCCTGCGTAAATGCAGTGGAATACAGCAGGTCTGATCCAGATCCTTCCAAAATGTTACAAGAGAAATAGTCATAATAAATACAACACAAAGTAAAGGTATATTTTAAACAAAACTGCATTAAAGTTAATTGTTAGAAATGTTACTACATTTATATCTCTCAGATGTAAAAAGTATGTAAAACTGACCATATATATATATTAAGGTAAAGGGTACCACTGAATTATTCTATATCACAAAGAAGAGTTCCATTCCGAGGTTTTTGATTTGAAGTTATCTCCCTTCTAAAAAGAAAGTGAAGCAATCAAAAGGGTTTTATTTTCTGACTTGGGGTAACTTCCCTCGTCAAGTTTTCATAAGTTTGCGGCCCATACATTGGACACTCATTGTGATGCCGTGCTAACATAATTCAAATAAAGCAACACTAGTAATGTGTAGGATTTGTGATACAAAGGAACTGTGTTCGACCCCTGCAATTTTTCAGTTTTCTTTTTCTAACGCTATTTTCTAATATTCAAATTTGGAACAACTACAAACTTCTAAAATATATGGCAACATGATTTTTATGGAATATTGCTTTTGAAAAGGACATAAACAAATATTTGATAATAGATACGAGGGTTATTATATTATTTGACCTGCTGGTACCCTTTACCTTAAATACCTTTTGACACCAAAGTGTTCGTGTATTGAAACCGTCTCTAATTTTGAGTGTTTATCTAGTATTTTATAGGCAATTTTCAATAAGTAATGTTTACGTCAACTCCTCTGCTCTTTGAACTCCTTACAAAAGTAAAATTTAAAAAAAAACATTTACTAAACTATCTACAGTAACTCCACACAAATGCTTACAATTTACCTAAACATTTACAAAATACAAATTTCTACATAATTTAACAATGAGCATTAGAAGTACTTAGAAAGGAAGCACTTATTTGAAAATACTGGTATGTATCAAAATTAAACTTTCTAAACAAATTACTGGAATGTCTGGGTTTCACTTATCATGCAAAAGAATTGCAATGCCGTGATAATAATGTTTTCCAAGTTTGCTTGATTTCCTACTGAACCTAAAAACCAAACTTCAAAAGTGTTATTTTCTTAGTAATAAATATTTAAAACATTCATCGCTCCGTAGTGGGAATGGCTCGCAAAGGGTTATTTAACGTAGAATTTTTGTATGAAGAATCTCACAACATGTCCATCCCAATTGGCTGCTGCAAGCCCCTGAAGGTAATACTGATCCCAATTTTAACCCAATAAAGTTCCATCCCATGATAACTATTCCAACCAATTTTAAATTATTATCTACTATAAATAAAACAAGAGGCACAGAGGGCCTGTGTCAATCCCCTTACCCGAATACTCACATTATAGAACACAAGACCAGCTCGAAATATCTTATTAAACTGTATAAGTTGGAAATTAATTTGTGTCTATATATTTATTCGTTGTGCAGTGACCAGAATCAGCAGAACACTAAGTTACCTGAGCATCTGTGTAAACTATACCCTCACAACCAAATAAATTTACAAACAATGTGTGCGAAAACATTTACCCGAATGTCGAATAAAACAAAATATTACACACACACAAAAAAAGTATCAAATCCAATAAACACTCATTCATATTCTTTTTACACCAAATAAAACCTCAAAAAAATGATTAAAAATAATAACAGTTAAATAATTACATTCCAAAAGAAATTATTTATTCAGATACACTTCAAAAAGTTATATCGTTTATTTCTTGATCTCTATTACAAATGAATAAATCATTATAAGCGCAAAAGCAAAATAAAACTAGTTGTAGTGCTGAAAACTTAAGTTCATTAAACTCAAACAGTGGAAATGTTCGCGGTGTGGACATTTTGCGTTTTTCACGAGTAAATAAGCGCGAAAATACCAACACGCGAATGTATATTTATAGATTATATAGATTATAGATATGTGGGATGTGTGTAATTTCCACATCGCGATCTGTTTACAGTCACAACGTGAACATTTACACACGCGTACTTTTACAGTATACAAACAATAGAACAGCTAAATTTATGGATTTACGAGAAATGCCACCAAGGCGGTGTATGTTGTTGTCAAACCTATAAATTATGATAGCCAGCGAAATGTCGTATACACGATCTTTTACATTGCATGTGTTAGGAATAGAGATGGACGGAAAGAAAAGTTTGGGTCATTCAGATTTCTAAAGGGCTCTCTCTAGCTTAATGTGCAAAGTAACTTGTACAAGATCTTAAACATATTTGATCTATAATGTAAACATGTTTGATTAACAATTAAAGTAGTTAAACCATCTAATATTTACACTATTTTCGTTATGATAAATAATTTATCTTTAATTTTTGTATTTATTTATAATAACAAATGTACCAAAAATATCTAGCGGCTCAAACTGGAGAGAATCATTAATACAACCCCCACCCCCACCCCATCCCCACCCCCATTCCCTGCCGCTCAATAGGTGAGGAGTCAACACCTCTAAACATCATCATTTATAGCAAATGTGTAAATTCTGAGGGGTCTGTCCCTCTTGATCTTCACTGATAATACACTTTGATTAAAACGTATTTGTTAACAAATTATATGGAGTTTGGCAGGTTATACAGCGACGTCCAGCCTCGTCCAGGTCTCCCAGTTAAACTTGTAGCTATAGCTGATTCTGTGAGTCCTTTGTAGAAGTTCCTGGATCCTACAGTACCTGTTCACTGGGTCAACCAGACTTGCCAATTTAGTATGTGTGGCAAACTGGATGTGTTTAAAACTATTGATGAGTGACGTAGCGAGTAAAGATTCCAACACATCATACTCGCACCCCTCACAATTAATCGTGAGTAAATCCACATCGTAACAACCAACTCCTAACGTCGTTAGAAATACCGTGGTATTAACAACCTTCAGAGAACAAGTTCCGTCTGTAGTTGCCATGAAAGGTGATGTCGCATCTCCATCATTACCCTCTATACTAACCATGAATACGTCATTCTTTTTAGCCAAGCCAAAATTATACGTCACAATATTACGCCTGTTTTCAAACTTTTTTACAAGGTTCCTATATAGAAGCTTAAGTGGTTCCAATATCACATAACTCTTAGGGTTATAGCGCTGAATAAAATACTCCGCGTCCTCCCCAACGTTACCGCCGACATCAATCATCAAGCTCCGATTGGTCAGATATTTATGATGGTGATGACGGACATATTGATTATCACCGGACCAAAATCTCGTGTGGGCTGCCTTACAGTCAGATTCATAGTTCTTTACACATTGTTCAAAACGACTCTGTTCCTTCACATTGAGAACCATTCCACGCGACGAAATTTTTTTAGAACAATCCTCAGGGGTCGCCCCGTTAAATGTTAGAAATTCCACTTTTTCTAAGCCAGACAACTTTAATAATTCTGGATCTTCTATACATATATATGTCGGTTTTGATTTGACATGTTTACATTGTGACTTTTGATACACGAGAATAAGAACCATGAACACACAGAGAATTAGCAGGCTTCTGAACAGCTGACCAGGGGTTTGGACAATTCCTTTGAGGGCAAGTGCCGGTCGCTGACTCCATGTTGCGTTGGTCATATTGAGTTGTTTTTGATCATCTAACCACCACTTGCACCATTTAAAGTATTCGAATCTGAAACAAAGAGAAGAGTAACATTTATCACTGATGGAAATAACGTAACATCACGCCGTAAAACGTGGACATTTTGGCATGTGGAAATGTTCGCGTTATGACCCTAGGAAATGTTCGCAGAGTGGATATTTCGCGTTTGCTATAAACCCGTGTATTCTATTTAACTAAAACCTTTAAATAAATATTGCTTGTGGACATCTTTTGCGCAAATTTACTCGACGCGAAAAACGCGAATATGAGTGGGAAGTGTTGAGCCTGAATAAAACTGGAACATTTCTGTATCAGACATGATGTCCCCGCATCAATGAAATCAAGTTTCACTTTTTAGACAGTTTTCTATCAATAGTAACGGTGGGGGTTGACGTTTGCGCCGTAAAGCATTAACTTTTCTTCTTTATGTATTTTCATACTTTGTATGATTTTTTTAACTAAATTTATAAAGAAATGAAGTCCCTGAGAATGTTGCCACTGATTGGTTAACAATTTTGTAAATAACTGTGACCTTGACCCTGACAATGCAGCCATACCTTGTTAACTCGTCTGGGGTGTTCTCGTGTCTGACTTTCGTAATGAAGTCGCTAGAGCGACGAAACTGCATTGGGAAGGGAAGGACATGGGTGACAATAAATATCACTATCTAGCTAAACATATACAGTGAACACCAACAAATAATTTCACTGCACCATGAAGAGGATCAAAAATGAACCTGTACGAGAAATAAACTTATCTTAACAATGACAGTAATTGCCCTCAACTCTGTGTAGCCCATTTGATAGTACACTTTATTGTCATGAATACCATATACACACAAAGGATTTAACAAGTACAAACCCATTTTTTTTCTCACTTTTAGGATATAATCCTAGACTTAAAACCGTATGTGTTAGTACTACTGTAGCAGACAAGTTTTAATCCGGGTTTTCTACTTATGGCTCTGAACAAGTAATGTGAATAAGAAGGCAAACAAACACACAATAATACCTTTGTCACCCCGCGTGTATATAGCCGACCTACAATTCAGGACTTTCAAACAGTGACCTCCTCCACCACCCTATACTGCGCAAGTACAACCACACCAGGCTTCGGTATCACAAACGTATGGTTATCACAAACTAAAAACTCAGCTCAGCGCATCAAGCTGAGACTGCCCGAGAGCAGTGCAAAAACAATGGCAGGTTTGGCGAACCATTATGATGATAAGCAAAATGTTACAATATTTATTTTTCACAACCATCCAAAATGTTGGAGACACACACAATATTTAGGCCTACTGGACAAGCCTACTAGACAAATGTGCAGGTAAACCAAATTAAAGGCAATTTATTAGCCATTTGTATAAAATACAGTCGTTTGAATAAGCCGTGAAATGAGATGACTGGAGCACAGGGGCCTGAGAATTTGTTACAGCTATATTTGGACCCAAACTAAGATGCTCAGATTAATTTACTTTTTTTTTTTAATTTTTCACGCATTTTCAAAGATATGTGTTCAGAGTAATTTTACATGTTTTAGGGGTTTAGATCGACTTTCAGTAAACTGGAGTCCTAAGTACAACCTTAAATGACCTTGTCAGTGAATTAACGTTCCTTATACGGTATAGCATCCTAGACTTGGTCTGCTTTTATAAAACATGCACGCATCCCGACAGTGAAGTACCTACTACTTTAGATACAGACCTTACGTACTGTATCTAATGCCAGCGAGAGAGTAATCAGGCCTAGATTTTGTTAAGTCTACATAATTATAATAACATGATAAAAGGAAGACGGTATAACATTATTCGTTTTCTCGCTTGGAAAAACACAATTCTAATAAAATTTGAAAATAGATAAAAGATAGTTTTAATCATCACCGAACGATATTTGAAATGTGTGACTTCCCTTACTGAACAATGTATGGATCCCCTTACCACCACCGGAGTTTGAAATTCTGGACTGTAAATCGAGATAAAATTCATATAAAAAATAAGGGTATTACTATAAAAAAAAAGTACTGTACTATTTTTATAGTAATATTTATATTTTTTATATGATTTTTATCTCAATTTACAGTCAGAATTTCGAACACCTGTGGTACCACTGCCAAAAACTGTAACTTAGTTTTGGAAACCGTTTTTTTCCCGGCATGGCTATAGCTGTAATGAGTCATTTCTGAAAAGAAATCCATATACCTTATGGGACCTTTATGAAAAATAATTATCGTGAAATAAACAAAATATTAACAATAACAGTATTCTTGGTGAAATCCTGTGGGCTAGACCGGGATTCGAACCGTAAGTTACAGATTTGTTATACTGTTATTCTAATCGTCCTGGCCCAACTATTTTACAGCTGTTACTGTGTTCTAGGATCGATCAACCACGGTGCAGTGTGACAAGGATTCGTAAGGATTCCATCTATTGTAAAGCACAGCCCTGTATTGTGCTACTTTTGGACGTTTCTTCACCCGTAAATTGTATTGATATTAGAAATTTTCTATTTTTACTGTAGCAACTTTTAGATTATCGTAAACAATTAAAAAGTGTGAATTGTTTATAACATCAACTGTGTTTGCTCATGTGTGGTTTGCACATATATATATATAGTAAGCTATATCTATTGGACAAGTACAGATAAATTATAACCAAACTCGCGCAGTACACACTGATTTACAGATGATGTCACAACGATGTTTAAATCATAACTAAAAGAAAATAAACTGGAATGCTAACTTTACAAGAAGGACCTTGTTATCACAGACTTATATTCTTCTACTTGATTTAAGTGGTCTATTTTTTTCATATACCGTAAAATCTTACAAGAAAAGTCTGCTGAAACTTTCTAAGTGGAAGGGAGACATTTTCTATGCCGAAGATTCAGCTACTTTTCCCTCTAACTTTTATTTCTGTAGCCCATTACGACTCTTCACAACTGTATATTGCTTAACACCGAACAGACATCACGGTCACATTTTTGACAGATTGCAAATTTGCTAGAAACTTGTACATAGGTATACATCTAGACTCGATGGACAGGTGCCCTCTCATTAACCCCATTTAATCAATATTTTTCAAGTAATGATCACTATCAAATCACCACCAACAGAAGCTGTGTTTCTGGTTAATCATGCGACGTTCGGCGTCAATTTTCGACAGGTCACGTGACAGTATCGGTCTGATTGTACATATATATATAATATTATGTAAAATTATTGAATTGAATTGAAATATATTAATACTTTCACGTGACAGTATCGGTCTGATTGTACATGTGTATATATAAATGTAAAATTATTGAATTGAATTGAAATATATTAATACTCCAATTAAACACAAAATAAGTAAATAGACCATCAATGCATTGAATAAATTACCAAAATATTTATATTTCATTAACTTTACTTTGCATCTCATTTCCTGTCTTTGTGACAAGTGTTTTTTGCAATGTGCTCACGTAAATTTTACAGAACTTGACAAGCGTTTTGTTTGAGAGTTTGTACGCACAACTTTTTCTCTCTTAAAGTTACTGTAGTTGTTTTCCGTTGGTTCTTCTACATAACTGTATTGTCTGCTTTTACCCCCCTTTAATTGGAACTCGATTTAGAAGCCGTACAAATTAATAAAGAACGTATTTGGATAGAGAAGGGGGAAAGACTGGCAAACTTTATAATTAAAGCAGTTTACAAAATCTTAACATCAATTTTGCTTCATATTTGTTAATGAGATGATCGATGTCAGATGCCAACTATGTTTTGGCGGTAGCTTTTCTGCCGCTGGTTATTCACATGACGTCATGTTTAAGAACGTCAGCTGTTAAGGTACTGAACGCGTTAAACTGAATCATGTTTATGCACTACCTAGTCAGAGTTGATGTAAGAGATCCGAGATAGTCCTATTTACGTACGCCTGCAGCTATAAATACAATTTCACGTTTAATAACTTGGGATATGATCTCATAAGAGGATCTGGCCAGTACGGATCAAGATCCGGTAGGTAATACTGAGTTAGTAAAAGCCGTTAGTAGGACTCGCACGACAAAATCATTTACTGAATGTTATTATTTAGCTTTTGAGCTAATAGCTTTAATATGACAAAGGCTTCAAAAGGCACTTTCTTTGCAGGTTTATTGGCATAAAAGAGCGCTCCAGTTACAAGCCAAATCGGTGAAGCGGGACGGGCACACCTTCTGCCTCTGACCCCGTATTAACCCTTCATCATATATACTAAAGCCTACTGAACTCTACAAGTTTCATATCTGTATATTTATTCAATAAAAATATGTCAACAATTCCACATTTAAATCACTCAGAGGCAATGAGCCATCTTATGATGGGGCTAAAAAAGTAGATGTTGTACCTGAACTGGGGGTCATCGGGTACATGTAAAGGTGGGAGGAAATATCGTTTCTGACTGTTCAGATGATCTATAACTGTAGCTTAACATGTTTAATGAATATTGTAAGCTATGGAAAATCAAAGCTGATACAGCAGTGTTCAATGTCAACTACTTAATTTGAAATATAACATGAACTGAAGCTGAGCACGGATACTTTGAAAGACCTAATCCATTCACGTTACTCCTAGGCACAAGGATATGTTACATGCAATATGCAACAGGGAAAGAAAAATGCAACGGCCAGACCTTTTCGAAACCGGAACTTCCGGAACTGGAAATCGACCCGACTGTTTGTTAGTTTGTTTGTTTGTTTGAGTGGTTTTACGTCCTCTTCACTACCCAGTAGTTCGGTTATCCATGAGACGAAGAAAAGACAGGTAATGAGTGGAAGGGGCATGGTATGTAGTAAGAGGAGAACGAAATGAGCCTACATGTTCTGTAAATAGTGTTGCCCATGTCCAGATTTAATGTTACACTCTAGAAGTTTCATTCTTTGACGGATTTCTTCAAACTTCAGACAAAAGTCAAAACTATGCCAATACATCAGGTGATTTCGTGTTTTAGGTCTTAGTTGAAGGCCAAGGTCACCATTACTATAAGGCCAAGGTCGAAAGTCATCAACCAATTCAGTTTCATAAGTTAACCAACTTTATTTCCTGTTGGATATTGATTAAACTGTATACAAAGGTCAGGTATGAGGGTACCTCTGACATCTTTGTGTTTCAGGGTTCGAAGGTCAAGGTCAATGTCACTGTGGTTACGTACAAAGTCATCAAACGATTCAACGTCATCATTCCAGCTACTTCATTTCTTAAAAGATTTTCATCAAAGTGTATACAGATTTCAGATATGATAATACCTCAGATGACACAGAAACTCATATATAAATTTCACATGATGGCGGGGGCATACATGTCTTACTGGCATTTTCTAGTTGTTTCTTAATTTTGAGACGACTCTGATTGACCTTTATTCAAGTTCCTCTACACTATATATTGAAACGGAAGGTGTAAGTGTGCGTCACAGTCGCGATAAAGCAGCACAGTTTGTATCACCGTAATTGCTATAACGCCCTCTTATATATGTGTGTACGTGTGTGTATGTAAAACCGTCATACATAATGTAGCACGCGAAATGTCCCTTTATCACAGTATCAGTGTGCACGTGGCTAACGGAAGAGGTCGATCACCAGTGAACGAGCATGCACTAGTCTAAGGACCTATTTTACATATAGAAACCCGTAAACAATATAAATATACCAATATAATGATATGTTATGTAGTAACTATCCCCTAATGCTGGCGCAGTGATATGTTGTGTAATGGTAGTACCTGTGGCTCAGTTATCAGTTACGGTGTTTTTTTAAACCAGTGTTCAGAATAGCTCGATCGATGTACACACGACTAACACGTTTACATTCACGAGCTCCTCAACACAAAAACTTGTCTACTCTTCCTTTAAAATAACAGCATACACGAACCCGTATATTGTGTTGACAATGAAATGTTGTACAGTACACTGCGTACATGTGAGATCACGATCAGTTGAATTGGCCATTCCGGTCCGCTGACCATACCGCGTGACGTTTAGGTGACGCATTACACCAAGACAGCGAGACTATAATTAAATGCGTTAATTGGGTTAATTGTGACCATATTGTGTATTATCTGTGACTATATACCGTATAGGTTTTACGAGGGAAAATTAACGTACCTTATTCTGCATACGGTGCTACGCTCCCACTGTGGCTATCCAAACCACTACACTTACATGTAGGTTATTCGGAACATCTCGGATCGGATTACTGATTAACGTATGTGATTGTAGTAAGGAGCATGACACGAAAAAATGTTCAACGTTTATGAGGATTTACAATTAAAACATACATTCCTACTCTACGTGTGTTTTTGTATGTCAAACACCTGGGTAAGTGCGTAGGTTAAACATTTAACTAAGCAGATATTGAAAAAAAAATAAAAAAATGGTAAGCATAAATAGAATCTGTAATTTTGATCTCACAGAAATGACGATCTACTCTTTTACCGGACAAAAAAAATATGTTTTTTTTAATAAGCTATACAGTGTATATTTATCCACGTCTGTCTCTGTAGGAGATCGATTGTGTAAATCGAACTGGTTGAAGCCGAAGACTTGACAGACGAGGCAGACACCATTGTAATACCAATGAAAGCCACCCCTGGTAGTCTATTGTCACATAGCAAACACACAGCGGACTCTCACTAGCACACGTGTGTACACAAGTGTTGAAAAAGTTCAAGTTTTATTCGAACTTTAGGCCATTGGCCCATCAGTATACAATACATATTATACACAAATCATTGACAATGTACAGAGAATGAAGACAATCATATTCCATTATAATACCCTTAATTTGTTTGCCTCATAGATGAATTTTCCTAGTATACACAATTCTTATGGACACTCAATAACTGAACGACTTTAAACACAGATGTTTTTTTCCAATAATAGCTTTTGATAAAACGTGATCTGAGATTTAGAACAGACTAATAAAAATCATCGAAATTCGTCCTCTACTTCAGAGGGGGAGTTACTCTCTTTACAATATCTACCTTCTCTAGGTGTATATCATTATACCTTTCAACTACTACAGCCAAAGAATGTGTAGATGTACGGATTCGAGTTAAACAAATGGAATATTTCATTGGTATATATTTTGTGAGGTAAAATTGTTATGAGGCCCTTAGGGATTGTATGCCTTGATCAATAACACATTTTGCTGAGAAATACATGGACTTAACCAAACATCACTAAGACCTAGATTATTTAATTCATCTCTTGCTGCTTTAGCCCAGTTGAAATCATTTTTACTACAACATTGTAATAAAAATCTATAGGAAGTGGATTTGATACAATTATAAGATTTTAAGATCTTAAACCAATATTTCATCATTCTAATCGTCCCAATTCAAGATATACCATACTGTTATTGGCCGATTTCTTCACCTTACAAACATGTAAATGTACATGTTCAATCTCTCGAACTTTATGCATACACTAAATTTCACTTGCATAAAAAAGGATACTGCTTACATATGTATCGAAAGGGTGTAGCATAGTTTTTACATTTAAGTTTAATGATGAACACTTTGAAAATAATGCAAACATAACTTTTCGTCCTTGGATAGCTAATTGTTTTTGAATTTATTATTGTATTTTAGAATAACACCTAGGTAAGAAAATTGATCCACACATTCGACTTTACTTCCTTTGTAATACCATTTTTCATCATTATGTAATCTTGCACCTTTTCTAAAAACTACAATTTTTGGTTTTTTTCCGCATTTACAGTTAAATTCCATTTGGTAGAGTATTCAAAAAGGCTGCCAGGACGAGTCTGCAGGCCCTGTACAGATTCCGAAAAAATAACGATATCATCTGCGTACATTAACAGAAACAAACTTAACTCACCGAAGTCGTAATATGTTGCACCGTTTTCAATAAAGGACATTTCAAAAGCATTGATAAAAAGTGAAAACAGTAATGGTGACAAATTTTACCCTTGCAATAAACCGACATCGTTTTCAAAAAATTAAGAGCATTCCCCATTAACTGAAACACAGGATTTGACTGATTTATAAAGCGACTTAATAACAGACATTTTTCCTCGAAGACCAAGCCTAGTCAACTTGTGCCATAAGCTTAACCTGTCGACAAAATCAAACGCTTTGCGAAAGTCCACAAAGCAACAGTACAAACGTTTCTTCTATTACGAAACTAGTCTTGAAACTTTATCTAATCGCAGAAAACAGAGGAAACTTCAACTATTGTATAAGATGCATAATAAATAGACTCCTGATTACTTCAATCATCTTTTGCCGCCTTTATCTGGAGAAATAATCGTTACGCTTTACCATAATAATAACTATAGGATTCCTCCTTTCAGATTATCTCTTACTAACTCCTCTTTACTACTCTTCACTGTTGACCATTCTAGAGTTAACCTTGCTGAGAGTACATCTTGTAATTTTGGTCATCCTTGTGAAAATGTCTTTCACTATTTTATAGAATGTCACCTTTTTACAAACGAAAAACGTATTTTGGTTCAAAATTTGATTAATTTGAATGTTGCGTTAAATTTAGAAATTCTTTTGTTTGGCGATTCACAATTTTCCGTCGACCTTAAACACTTTTTGATCTGTGCAAAACTTTATTAAATCCAGCAAGAGATTTTGAGTTCAAATTGTAACAACAATTGTATATATTTATTGTCGGTATTGTAATGTCATTTAAAATGTATATTGGGAGAAGGCGTTGACAAGTTGTTATAACTTGTGCCTAATCCCTTGTCTTTTTTTTGGCAATAAATATGTTTAAACTAAAACGTTTCTTCGAAGATAAAGTTTTCGTTATAATAGAATGTAATGCGAAAATTGAATCAATCGTACTAAGTTCTCGACGAAATCCGAATTGTGCATTAGTAATAAGGTCATATTTCGTACACACATCTAAAATACGTTTATTTAGTACAGAGGTAAAAAGTTTACAAAGACAGCTAAATAAACTAATACCTCTAAAGTTATTAGGGTCATTTAAAACACATTTCTTATGGACAGGAATAATTATGGCTGACGACCAATTAGAAGGAAAATAACAAGATTCTAGTATATAATTAAACAACGTAGATAAAGTTGGAAGAAGTAATTCCGCGCCAGCTTTTAAACATTCATTTAACAAACCATCAGGTCCATGTGATTTACCACATTTCAATTTCCGAATAGCTTTTTTTACTTCTTGTAACGAAATAGGAGCATCTTATTCCTCAAAAAACAGTGTCATTATCAGTAAGACTTAGGTCGTCATGATGGACAGGATCACCATCTTGTTGTACAGAAGAAAGGTTTTTGAAATGACTGTACAGTTGATTAGAATTACACATTGGTGTTTTAGCTTTCTTCTTATCAAATTTCTTATAAAAAGACCCGGGGTTATGTTTACTCATATACTCCAACAAATCACCTTCTGCGCTCAAATATATTGCCTCTTAAACTTACTTTCCAGAATTTTGTACTCTTTTTCCTTACGGATAAGAACAGTGTGTGTCCAGTAACATTTGTTAATGTTGAATTTCTTCAAAGCAACTAAATATTGTTTACGTGGAGCTCTAACACGATCGTTAAACCAGGGCTTATCTTCGGAACTAGAAAAGTTATGGGTGTCAACTTTAACAGGGGTCTTATCAGTGTTATTTTTGGGCGGTTTTCTTAGAAAAAAAGTTGCATAGTCCCAAGTAAAACATCAGTAAAATTACTTACGCAGGTATCAATAGAATCTTGATTTAATTCATCATTTTTTAACAACAGACAACATACTAAATGCCATTAAAACATAATCAATAACACTCATTCCATTTTCTCCACAGAAAGTAAAATCACTAGAGAGATTGTCTAGGTCTCTACCATTTACAATTCTTAGACCCGAGGATTTACATAGGTTTAACAATCTAGTACCGAATGCGTTGACTCCTGGATCAGGGTTTGTTCTGATCGGCAGAAGCCTTTCTTCATCAGTATCACTTAAGTAATTAAAAATGGATTCAATATGTGACTGTATACCGTCATATAAATTGTCAAATTAAATTAAATCATCTGTATTACGGGTATGACTGTTTAAATCACCTATAACCATTACATTTCTGGATTCAGAATACTCGCTTATAACGTTTTCTAGAATTGAAAAAATATCACAATAATGTTGTTCATAAAAACGAGATGAACTAGGTGAAATATATGTACATAACAGTATTAGGTTGTCAGTACAACTGGTCAAATCCTGGTCAAGAGTAACCGGTATAATTGTATCAAACAAAACATTCCTACATTTACAAATATAAAAATAGTATTACGTACTAGTAACACCAATCCACCACCTTGTGTACAGCGTGTTAATTTCCTTAGTACAACAACTGCGTGAAAGTCCTCAAGGTCTACCTCAAAGCCTTTGGTATCCAGCACTCGGATAAAATTTTTTTTATCATAGTTAAGCATAACATTGCGGAATTCAGCAACTTATAGTTAATTTTCTAAACCACCATTTACGTTCCAGGAAATAATTCTGATATCGGTATCAGACACATGTTTCGCCCGGTCACACTTGGGACTGTCGTTGGTTGTGAGAAACATGTAGGTACACAGTTTTGGTGATAATGACGCCAGCGATTGTTTAGTCGGGATTTAGAACTAAATGGGGTCTCTACAACTATATTTGGGAGAGAGTTCCACACGTCCACGACCCTACTACTGTACAGGTTCTTGGTAACGTTGAGCCTCATCCTTCTCTTGAGAAGCTCTTTGAAGTTTCCTCTTGTTGTGACCAATGTAGCCATTTTAATAATTTTGTCTTTGTCTGAAACGTCAATGTCATTGCTGATTTTATAGAGTTGTACAACATCCCCTCTCAATCTTCTGAATCTGTATTCTAAACTGGGGAGGGCAAGGGTGTCACTGTCGGATTGTCCTGTTAAGAATAGTAGGCGTCTTGTTGCCCTGCGGTTGACAATTTAAATGGCAATTTGATCTTTTTTTAAACACTGGAAACCATATGCAAGTGGCATATTCCAAATGTGGCCGCACTAGACTTTTAAACAATTGCATAAACATGTCTTTGTTTATAAATGTGAAGGTTCGAAATATCAGTCCGAGGATTCTGTTGGCTTTGGTGACACACTCGTGTACAAGTTCACTAGCATGTAGTTTATGGTCAAATACCACTCCCAAATCCTTTTCTTTGCTTTATCAGTGGTTACTTCATTTTGTC